CGGCGGCGCTGGGTGCTGCAGAGAGGGGTGCGCTGGCGCATAACAGTGAGGCGCAGGGCGGGCGAGCGGCCGGCTGATGCAATCCTGCGTCTGCGGTGCCGGTGCCTGCGTGTGGGGTCCAGGGGAGGCTGCCAGGGTCATTTTGCTGTCCCCTGATCGCTGACTCTTAACCCTTTGCGTTTCCCAACTCTGCATCATCCCCTGATCCCTGTCTCTTTAACCCTTTGCGTTTCCCGACTGCGTCGGCCCCTGTGGGTCTGATCATGCCTGCAGGTGGGGACATTGTCCCGTTGGGGTGACACAGCCCTGGTGTTGGTGGCTCTGATTTGGGCTGCGCTGCCAGGAGGGGATGGCTGTGTCCTGGACTGTGTCCCTTCCTGGCCCTGGTGTCACCCAGGGGGACCTCCTGGTCCCCTCATCAAAGAGCCCCAATCTCATCCAAGTGCCATTGATGACATCTCGTCATTCCAAGTGCCACCCTCTGCTCCCCACGTCTCTGCCCCACACTGTGCTCAGCCCCACACTGTGCTCACATGATCAAACCCTTTCCTGTCCTCCTGAAACGCCCAGGGCCGGTGGTGTTGGGTGTCCCTGGAGCCACCATCCCCTCTCCTGTCCCTGCCTGAGGTTTCACAGCCCCTCTTGGTGCCAGACAGGGACCTCGGCCCCACTCCTACACGTGCGCCTGATGGCTCCCTCCCCTCTGCTCTCCAGGCCGGTTTCGTGCCGATAACTTGAACAAGCTGAAGAACCTGTGCAGCAAAACCATCGGGGACAAGATGAAGGTGAGGGGAAGGCAGGCGTCCCTGGTGGGACATCACTGACTGGTGGCATTGCCCCCAGGTCTCTGCTTTCCAGGCCTCTTCCTGGCACCATCGAGGAGTATTTTTGCCCCAAAGCTTTACTCTTTAACCCCTCTGCCGTTTCCTTACAGAAGAAGGAGCCGGTGGGGACAGACGAGTCAGTACCGGAGAGCGCACAGAACCTCGACGAGCTCACGGCCGACGTCCTGGGGGTGAGCCAGGCCCCCTCCGTGCTGCACCACCAGCCCACCCAGTCTGTCCACAGCTTCCCCTGTAACTCCCCAAGTTGGCGGCGCAAGGTGCCCCAGCCCTAAGCAAGTGGAGGCTGCTTGATCCCTCTGGAGGAGGCTCCTTATTTCCCCCAGTCCCACACCAGTAGCAACCAGTTCTGGCCCAGTATCCTCCATGTAAAGCCCATTTCAGCCCCGCTCCGTGGCCGCTCACCAGCACAGGGCTCATCCTGTGCTTCCCTGGGGGATCTGAGCAGCCCCAGCCATGACGTGTGCTCTGCAGGTCCCTTCCTCCCTGCCCGCTCCCCGTCCCGGTTCGTTAACTGCGGTGTTTAACGAGCGTGGCGCTGGCTGTGGGAGCTGACAGCTCCCCCTTGTCTCTGCTGGGCGCTGTGTGACACCAAAGGGGCCCTTGTGGGGCCTCGCTTGTGTCACCCCTTTGTCCTCAGGAGCTGTTTGACACATTCAGC